AGCAATAGGTTTATCTGCTGATCAAATTGTATAGTTTTATGGGAGGTAAAAGATTATCACAGTTCATGAAGAAATCATAGCAAGAATTGGGTTTTCTATGGTAAAATATATAAGTTTGTTTCTGTAAATGTATGTTTGTTTATATAAGAGAAAGTCCAGTTAGCTCTATAAGCTACGAGATAGGGCAAAAAGTAGAAAATTGCAGGTTAATGCAAGGGTACACTCAGGCAGAGTTAGCAAGTAAGGTAGGATTAACGTGCAAAGAGATAAATAATTATGAGCTAGGATATGTTCTTATTCCAATTAAGAAATCATATGCAATAGCAGAAGAATTATCAGTTAGTGTTGCAGATCTATTACCTGAACCAGTAGAGGTAAGGAAAGACAGTTATTGTGAAGATGAGGATGNTTCTGTAAATGTATGTTTGTTTATATAAGAGAAAGTCCAGTTAGTTCTATAAGCTACGAGATAGGGCAAAAAGTAGAAAGTTGCAGATTAACGCAAGGGTACACTCAGGCAGAGTTAGCAAGTAAGGTAGGGTTAACGTGCCAAGAGATAAATAATTATGAGCTAGGATATGTTCTTATTCCAATTAATACATCATATGCAATAGCAGAAGAATTATCAGTTAGTGTTGCAGATCTATTACCTGAAGCAGTAGAGGTAAGGAAAGACAATTATTGTGAAGATGAGGATGAAGAAATACTCTATCTAATAGGAATATATGGAAGGATTCAAGATCAAGAACTGCGCAAGGCAATACGTCCATTAATCAGATCTGTATATGTCAGCGAAAAAATTAGCCAAGAAGAGGCAAAAATAGAAGTAGCAAAGAATCTAATTAAAGAAGGAGTGTCTGTTGACATTATTGCCCAGGCAACTGGTTTATCTACTTATGAATATGTTGATACAGAAAAAGAAATTTGCACTGATTCTATATACTGCAAAATAGGACAGAGAATAAAAGAATGGAGATTAATAAGGAGGTATACTCAAAAAGATCTAGTGGATAAGGTTAATTTAACGCTTAAGGAAATACACGACTACGAAAAAGGATACACTGACGTTCGACTTGATAAATTATATGAAATAGCAGAGGTATTATCAGTGAACATAAAAGCTCTACTACCTAAAATAATAAAAGAAGAAAATAAACTATTGAGTTTCATAAATGAGTACAGGAAAACTGAGGATCAAGAATCACGAGATATATTAGATGCGTTAGTTCAGTTTCTATCTGAAGATATGCAGACTGGCAAAGAAAAAATTAAAAAAGCGGAAAAAATCAGGGTTGCAAAAAATCTAGTTAAAGTAGGTGTTACTGTTGATATTATCTTACGAACAACAGGCCTAGCTGCTGATGAATTAGATGCTAGCTGAATGCGTATTTTACCATATTATTGAGAAATCTCAGGTATTTATGATTTTTGCAATAGTGTGCTGTTTTATATGCTCCTAGAAGTTGTTTTTGGCTTAGGTGGCATTGTCTAAGGATAAACTGTCTTGATCACATATTTAGTACTTTTTTGATAAGTTTACTATAAATTTAAGTAGTTAAAGCAAAAAGTGAAAATGAATATTGATAAATTGGAAAATGAAGAGCTTAATTTCATCGATGCCAGAATAGGGAAAAAGATAAGACAGTTCAGGCTCACTCGAGGCTTTACACAAAGTGAACTTGCAGAAAAAATAGGGATTTCATATCAACAGATACAGAAATATGAAAATGGCACAAATCACATTCTTGTGTGCAGGCTATATGATTTGGCACAAGCTTTATCTATTGATATCATAAACTTCTTCACTGATATACCCGTAAAGACAGAAGATCCGCATATTGATAGTAGTGATGAATGTGACAAAGAAATATTTATGATAATGAGAGAATATAGAAAAATTAAAAGCAAAAAATCACGAGATGCAATTTATTCGTTATTGAAATCTTTTTCCCAACAAGATTAACAAAAGGTATCATTAAGATAACAACAACCCTATAATTTCTTTTTCACCATTCATTAATGCCATATCTAAAGCAGTATACTTTTTATCTCCTAGTTTAAATTCTATTTTAGTATTTGCTCCATTTTCTAGCAACAGTTTAACTATTTCTTTATAACCTTTCACTACTGCTATGTGCAATGCTGTACAACCATATCGAGTTTTCAGATCCACATATGCTCTGTTGTACAATAGGGTCATTGCAGTACATACGGAATTACATGAGGCAGCATTATGCAAAGGAGCATCTCCATCTTCGTTTTTAATATTCGGCATGGCTCCCTTCTTTAGTAGTAATCCTAATATTACATCTTCACAACTTCTAGTTATAATGTGCACAGGTGTATCTCCTTTATCATTTTGCATATTTGGATCTGCGTTAAACTTCAATAACATCTGAATTGCTCTTAAATGTCTATTCATTGCTGCATTGTGTAGCGGGGTATTCCAAGAAGTGTTTTGTACATTAATTTCGGCTCCGCCAAACATAAGCATTTGTATTATATCTACATAATCATACTTAGCAGCAAAGTGTAGTGCTGTATTACCTTTTTTATCTCTAGCATTAATATCAATATCACAACATATTAAAAATCCTAATACTTTACCCAGATTCCATTTGACAGATAGGTGCAAAATCTTAGTACCTAATGTTGTGTGAGCAATTGTACCAATAACCGATAGAAGGAGTGATCTATTATTTCTGGTTCTATCTATTTTATTAGCAATTTTTTTCAAAGCCATTTCAACATCTTTCATACTGACTCCTAAAAAAGCATTTTATACTACAGTCTATAGCATCACAGGTTATCTAATTATTAACTCTATATGCTCGTATAGAGTTAATATATGCACATAAAAAGCCATTGTGGCGAGTATTTTGCATATAAAAAGATACATATTTATATTAATATATCAGTATATATACTTAGTTTATTAAGTATTTTGCGTAAGTTCCATCAGCTTCTTTTGTTAACATATATT